GACCAAAATGGGGTAACCCAACTTGTTGTGACCTGATCATACACATGTTAGATGCTGCACAACTTAGCGTTCCCAGCATCTGAAGGGACATGAAATTAGCTATACTATCCTCTTTTGTTATAGCATTAGCTCTAATAAATAGGACTTTTAATGAGACTTTACAGAGTCTGAGTGCCTTTCTTACTGGGATGATAAGAAACCAGCACCTCCTGATACAAAACACCTGTGTGTTGGAGTTTTGGTTTTGGTTTTGTCAGTAAGCAAGAATAATGTACCACTGTTAAGTGAGGAGGCCACTGAGCCAAAAGACCACTTCCTTTGGGCAGTTGGTATTTTAATTACAGTTTACAAATTAACAACCTTCTTTTATAAAGGATAGTTTTAGAACTCTGAACACCAGTTTTTACTGAAATTCTGCTTTGTATCTGAAGGTCTGCATTTTATGACTGGAACTTTTAATTTAAACCATCGTACTGATAATTTGCAAGATACTGCTTTTGACAGGTGCTTCCACAAGAACGGTGGAATGGTTAAATGGTTACCCCATAACTGCACAGATTACCAAGCTTCAGAGCCAAGAAAATGTTTCTGGTTTGTAACTTCAAGTAGGGTGGCACATAAAATGCCCAGATTGCAAATGTGCATCCTGATGGACTCTTTTTTTTTCCTGGCTTTTCAGCAATGTGACAACCACTGAACAGTGATTTCATTGGCCTCCACAATGAAGTATGACTGTAGGCCCCAATTGTATATAATAGTCATAGCTCGTTAGGGACACTGTTCGGTATTGATGCACTTGGTGTACAGGAATAAGGTGTATACATACATTTAGCAAACAGAATTACATATAAAATAACATTATTCGTGAATTTGCATGCTGCCTTTTTTGAAGGAGGGCAGCAGCAATTCTGGGGAAGCCAAAGAATTCTAACAGCATGTTAATTAAGAGAGATGTTTCTCAAACCTAGTGCAAAATAGGTAACTGCAGCACATGGGAAGGGAGCTGTGGTTCATTCTTAAAGAGGTTGATTGCTGCTGTAGATGTCAATCCCAACTACTTCCATTTCTGTAAAACGCTCTAGTAGGGACATACTTTTCCTTCTGCAGTACAGTGCTTTTGGACACCCTCATTTTCTCTGCCACAGACCACCTGGCATGACTGCTCTCCTGGAAGTCTCCCTTCCCTTGAAACCTAGTGTCTGTTTTAAATATTTGTCTTCCAGCTCAGCCAGGCAACGTATCTATAATTTATGTGAATTCTCATGATTTCACCGCAGGAATTTTGTGCAGAATTTTTCTCCACTGGATGATTTTACCAACAAGAAAATTAAGACGGCAGAAAAATGCCTCTCTCAATCCTAAGCAGTCAGCTAACAGGCTTCTGCCTTCTCTTTCTGCCACCTTGTCATTTCTGATAGTCTGCATGCACGTGTGTTTAGGGCCATAAGGGAAAGACATAGGAAAGACTTTCTTTGAAGTGAAGTGAAACCAGGTACAATTTTTTACCCCTTTAAGTCCATCTCTCCTGCTTATCCTCATGGTAAGCATCCACTTTGCACTTAGCTATTGATGCTTCTTCCTACTGCCTTTACACTGCTGCAGCCAGCACATACTCTGCCTTTCCGCCCTGTCCCAGCCTGTACAGCATCTTCCGTGGCTTCTGAGGAGGAGTGAGGAGATGTGTATCTGCTCCTTCTCCATCTCCAGAAAGGCATCTCCAGAAAGACCATGGAAGTTCAGGGGAATGTACCTGGCAGCAGTGGGAAGAGAGTGCGCTGGGTTCTGAGCCCCCCTGTTTCAGAATGGGAAGGTTTGGGACTGAGAGGGCAGCGTCTCGCCCACTAAAAAACTCCCATTGCTCTAACCGGTGGCTTTTCCACTGGGTAAGAGTTGCAGGAGGAGTGGTGAAGGCATCTGTGTTTGAGAGAGTGCTGTTGATGAAGTGAGACTTTCTCATTAGTTCTGAAGGTTGCCAGGATGGGAAATGGGGCCGCATCTGCACACGGAAAAGAGCATGAGAAGTTTATCTTTTTAATGTATTCTAGCTCATAAAGCTGGTAGTTGTTTTTTTTTTTTTTTTAAAGGGAGCCACAGGTGGGAGACTTTCGATTAAAAAGATTTGCATAAACTTTTCCTTGAGGGATAAAAAACACTTCAGGAAATGAAAATGATTCTTCTGTCGCTAAAGGCTGCACTGTCACTGGAACTGTGGTGATTAAAGTTAGCCACTAGACACCTTGCAGCTCTTGAAATCTTTGCATGTTTTAAACTTGTTGAAATAGCATTAAGTGTGGTAAGTGTCCTTTACAGTGTCTCTTGTCAAGACTCTCTGTGACCAAGAAAAGGCAACTGGCTATGCTACTGTGTGTCTCAGCACCTGAAGATAATTAAATTAAAACTCACTACATTGTTTGGGTATAGGGGTAACTCATTTTTTTGAAACTTGACGTGTTACTGTTCTAATACTTGTAGAGAACCTTCTGTCTTGGAAAACTACTCCATTTGTGAGAGCATTATTTTGCAGTAGATTTTCTTCCTGTCTAGAAAGTATTTAATCTTTCCTGGATGGGTGACCCACAGTCAGGGAGGTATGTGGGGTGGGCTGTAAGTTCATGGCAGTCCAGGTATGGGACTGGGTGTAGTGTCTGAGGGGGCTGGGCACTAGTGGACAAAACAGAGTCCTGAATGGTACCTAATCCTTGCAGTGAGCAAGGACCTGCCTGTCCAGTCCAGAGCCAGTAAGGTTGTCAAGTCACTGGTGCGGAATAGAGCACAGCCTGGCTACGGAAACTGGCCTGCTTGGTGTCCAGGCCAGTCTCCAAGAAATATGGGAGTTCCAGTATTTTTTATGCACTGATTCAGGTATAAAATTTGCAGGTATATTACGTGAGGTACATGGAGAACAGGTAGGCTCCTACCCTGACATAACATGCTTCAGCTCGTGCATTCTCCGCATGAAATGAGACTGGGTGTCCGTAGCACACCCCGGGGTAGCCCTGGCTGTCAGCTCTCTGAAACACTCCTCTGGGACAGGGAACAGGTCTTCTAGAGAAGCCTGTGATAATAGAAAGGTGAGTGTTGTTCGTGAAAGCTGATGACTCTGAATATTTATATTTTTTTTTCTATCTTTTTCCCCTGGTAGAACAGCTGCTGTTGCCATGTTGTTACTCTTAGTGTCTGTTAAGTCAGGACCAGATAAAAAAATGGGTCATGTTTTGTGTAGGTCACTAAGGAAACAGCTTACTTGGGCAATACCTTCATTGACAGGTTTTATAAATAATTTTGTCTCTCATCTTGGAGTGATCACCTCGTCAGTTAGAAACTAACAGCTATGGTAGGCACATAATTTATTGAATTCAGATTTTTTTCTCTCCTGTTATCCAAAACATGCACCTGCATTTTGAAGCACTGTCCCATGGCTGATAACTCTTGCTCAGGTTAGTCCTGTTCCACTGGGATAATGAGCAGTTAACTGAATTATGATCAAGGCTTCCGAAGCATAAGCTTACGTTGCATCCTGACTTGGAGCGTGGGGATCTTTGCCAACTTTTGTCCCAGTAGGGTTGCAGGAAGTTTATATATAGAGGGTGACAGCAAGGTAAGAGCTGTCAAGAGCTGCTGGAAGTACCGTTTGCACTGATGGGGTGTGCATAATTTTCCTCTTCCACAACCTAGTTTTGGAAGAGCAATGATTAACTGGGAAAAGGAAGCTGATACTGAAGATCTGAAAGAACTCACACTTAAGATGATGCATGTAACAAGAGGAGTTGGAGTTCTAAATGTGATGGAACTGCAAAATACATAACAGATCTGAGGTAAAAGGTAGCATAACAAAGCAGTGTGTTCTTGTGGTGTTTTCTTTCTTGTCCAAGACAAAACCCCTCAATTTTTACTTGCTATGCTCATACTTCTGAGAGCAAAACGTACCAATAGGCCAGTGCTCCAGCAAACTCAATATCCCTAATGTATTTCTTCTACTAGACAGGAAAAATAAAACACTAAGTCTAATATAGAGATATGCATTTTATTTGTCATCTTTAGTGAGTCAAGCCGTACTGCACAGTTTCAACTTCTGAACAAGCTTAATTAAAACTCAGTTTAAAGCTTTTGAGGTTTCAGTGGGAAAGCTGTTTAATTTTTAAAGGAAGCTTTATCATTAAAATAGCAGTAGGAACGTGTAGGCTTCGTGCTGAGACATGCTAGTCAACTAGCCTTGTAAATAAAATTTGTGTGCCTGATCCCAGCCTCCAGAAATACTTAAGTGTATTCTGAGTTAGCAGCACACATATAGGTTAACAAACTATCTGCAGTCAACAGCTCGAGCCAACTGGTGTTTACATTTATTTGTTAGGCAGAGGGTGTCAACTGATAGGTCACTGTGGCCTACTGGTTAATTAGATCACCTGCATGTCTGCAGAGGATTTGAGATGGCTGTGTACATGCTTCCAGCATGGATATCAGCTGGTACCTCTCTGTCAAGCACCTCTACTAGGAAGTAAATATGCCAGAAAAAAAAAAAAAGACAACCACCCAAACAAATCAGTGGAGCTACAGTAACACACACCAGATGAACATAGGTGCTGATACTGGTCCTGCTCTCCAAGAAGACACAAAGTGCACACATGCATTAACTGTCCTTGCCTCACCCCAGTAAACCAAGGCACAGAGCCATTCTGCCATCTCTCTTCTCAGCTAAGTAAAAAAACCAAATCCATCCTAACTGATGATAGACCAGAGAGACGCAAGAGGACAGTACCATTTCACAAACAAACTAGTTGTACCTGAGCAGCCCAGTAAAGGCCAGTTTGCAATCTGCTTAATAGGTTTTTTAGAATGAGCTTCCCTTTAGAGTCTGAGCTTGAAGGTATAAAAAAATCAATTATTGCCATACTCTTCTACCTACTTGTCAGAGATTATTTTCCTGTGCAGTATGTATGTCTCATAGAAGTGCTTTACTTAGGAATAAAGAGGATCCAGCTCAAAGACAGACAAACACCAGCTCAAAGTGTAGTTTCCCTGACAATGCCAATAAGATTGCAAGGCCGTTCATCTTCTGCTCTCGGCATCTCCCTCTCTGCCAGCTCATCATCTGTGGTGAAACTACTCAGGCCACCACAGTTCTCCACGTGCAGCAATCCAGGTAACACATCGGCACTCAATGGCACAGCTTGCTGGGCAGGTGCCATCACCTTTAGAAGGGGAAAACAACAACAACAAAATGTAAATCAGATTTGTTTTCAGGCTCTTGTTCCATTAAAATAATTTCTTACCCAACTAGGAAGAAGCTAGTTGTAGTGCTGTGTTTATTTTCAAAGAATAATAAAAAAAAGCTGAGACTAAAACTGCTATTTGTCAAGGAGGCATGGGAAAAGCAATCCCATTTGGGAAGAGGAGTGAGGTTTTTGTTTGGTGGTGTTTTGTTGGGGCTTTTGTTTGTTTATTTTTAAAGCTATGCAAGAATTAGCTCACCCCAAACGATGGCATGTCAGGTATTGCTTAATAGGAATCTAAATGTTGCTTCCTGCAGAAGCCACTGGCCTGGAATAATCTTTAGACCAGTGTGATAAACTAAATTTTCATCAGATTTTTTTTTTCATTGTTTCTGTCAAATTTGTTGAGGCTTTTGTTGCCTGTAGGCTGCAGTAGGAAATCTCCCTTTATCTGCAGAGCCTAAATTACAATTTTTGATGTGTTTGTCATGAGAACTCAAACCAAAACCAGTTGTCATAGCAAATCACTTGTTACGTGCATGAATCAACTCATCTATCCAAATGGTCTGTAAGCTACCAATACATTTCTTTGATGAAGTCTGTAATGTCTGAAACTTCTGAATATTCATTTCATTAATGTAAGCACATGTTTTCTACTTTCTGCTTTTTTCCCCTTAGTACTCTAGGTCTCAGTTTTGTCCTGGGAGCCAATCACAAAAAGTTGCTTCTTGTGGGTTGACATAAAAATTTCCTTGTCAGCCTTTAGAATTGCTTTATGCAATTAATGCTTTATAACACCTCTTGCCTCTCCCCTGCCACGCTCAGTACAAAGCACTGTCATGTTATTTACAGTTCATGATTCTACCACAGAAGCCCATCTCCTTCAGCTTTTAAATACTCACGTTTTCAGTCTTCTGATAACCTGCCTGGCTGTGTCGTTGATAAAGGAAGAAACATCATAGCTGCACAGCCTCTCACACACTCCCGAAATAAAACTAAAGTACCGAAGGAAGCTAATTGGGTTCAAAAACTTTGACACACAAAGCAGAGTGGCAAACAGTAACCCTATACAGCTTGGGTTTCCACATCACCTGATAAACACAAGCAATAAAACTACCTGCTCAAGGAGGGTGGCACTGGTGATATCTTCTGCTATATGTTCCTCAGCTGATCTTAAAATAAACTTGATATTTTCCAGCAATTCATATATTTCAGGGCCCGTGATGCAGGTCAGCTCCTCCAGGATCCACTCCACAAGATGTTTGGTGTTGGTGTAAGGCTTGTAGTCTACCAAAGGCCGGCATCTTCCCCTCAAAGGTCTTGCTCTCACATTCTCCCACAAGGTGACAGTGCCGAGTTCTGATTTTATTTCAGCCTGAATTGCAGCTTTACAGCTGAGCACTGCCCATAAAGACAAAGACCAAACAAAGCAAACAATTCACTTGGTTCACAGTACTGTTCAACAAGTATCCCCTGAGATTTCAAACCTGATTCAGTGATGATGCAGTGCACAGTTCAACCACGTAAAACATAATGGTCTGGTGTGGTCAGGGCAGCACGCAAGACTCACTCTGTGTTGGATTTACACTAGAGAAAATGCCCGTGAAAGAGTAGTACATAGCTATGATTGAGTGCATATCACATGTCAAAGGGTCTGGAGGGACATTTCTGGGAAAACTATTTGCCATTTTGTATACATTGGTTCCTTTCTTTTTTGCTTCTATTCTGAATAGGTCTGAAATGAGTGTTGAGTATTAATGTTAACACACGGTTATACAAAGCAGGTTAAGCAAAGCTTGAAGGCTTTTATGATGTCTCCTAAACTTTTTGCAACTTAGTTATTACCAGTCAAGAGGGCTAGCTAGAAAATATCTGAAAATAATTGCTTGTCAAGTTGGAAACTAGTAATATTACAAAGTGGAAATTTAATATTTTTTAAAAAATAATTTTAAAAAAATCAAAATTAACCCTGCAAGGACTAAACAAAGGGCAGCAGCGAATCAATTCCACTGCCTTTAGTCCAAATAAAAATCCACTGCCTTTGGCCTAAATAACAATGATCAATTTTTGGCCCTAAGAGTACCAACAGGTTGTTCAAGAAGCACTTTAACATTGGCTTCATGCCAAACACAACAATACCAGGAGGATATCGAAAACTTTCCAGCAAGAGGAGCACTAAGTTGAAGCAACTTCCGTTGTTCTGTTCCAGCCGAGTTCCCTTTCTGCAGCACTCGTGTATGTAACTCTCAGGTTGAGTGCTGAACAGACCTCAGTTACACTAAGCCTAAAGCACCCAAATGCTTCTGACTGAGGGACTCTACAGCAGAAGCGCTCTGCTCCTCTTTCACAGCTACGAATAGGCTCTCTGGGGTGCTGTGGTGGAGGTCGATAGGAGGAAAAGAGAAAACACATGATGTAGCAGAGACATGAAAACATTCCACAAAATAGTAAGTGTAATCCAGATAGGCATGCTCCCAATATTCAAAATAAATGGTTGTAATTAACATGCCCCCTCCCTGCTTATATTTTGTGAGTGCTAATATGCATCAACAGCTACTAGCGGGGATTCCAATATCCTCTAATAAAAACTGTGAGACTTTTGACCACTGGATTTTTAAGACTGTCAACAGAATCAGAACTCTACAGCACCAGAAGTTCTCCCACAGCAACTGAATTGGATCACTGACACCAAAGTAGCTGCAACAGACTTCACCAGCTCTCCACTGTGGGTTTTTTGTGTTGAGTTTTGAGATTTTTTGATGCTATGATGAGTGAGAACAGGGATGCAAATTTATAGGCTAATACCAAATATCCAAGCTAATTTTGCTTTAGATTGATCACATTGACAACTGCCCTTTCAAGCCTTTAGATGCCAGTGTACAAATACACTGGGAAATCCTATGTGCTCCCTCCTCCTCATCTTCCATGATCTCTTCCCCCTCCCCAAACTAGCAATGCCTGCTACAGACCCCGTTCCTAGATGTTAAAGCCTAAAGAGCAGCAAGACTAAAGTGTTGGGTGGAGAAGATTTAGCAAAGCACAAACTGTTTGCTGTAAAGTAGGTACTCTGGAGACAGTAGGTGATTTCTACAGGTACTTATGTTAAAGGTACTAGCCTTCTGACAACTGCTCTTTTAAGGACTCATTACATCATAAGCACTGATAAAGAAAAGCAAGTCACCTTGAAGCAACCAGCAGTGCAGCATAGAGTCACCTTCAGACTGTTTCCACAAGAAATTGAAGGCTATCCTGCGCGTGTTTTCTTCAGGCACCACGCTTGAGTTTGAAGGCAAAAAGCTCACTCTGCTGGAAGACTCAGGAATTTCTTCACCTGAGTAATCTGGAATAGCAAAGATGAAGGAAAGCAGTCAGAACAAAGCAGATCTGTACAAGCTGTTATTAGATATTATTACTGATTTTTTTTGTGCAAAGTTGTAATGATTGGACACAAAAGCCTAGAGGTGCATGTATGTGTGCATATGCCCACACTCACCAGTAACACCAGTCTAAAGCCAGCTTAAACATTTGCAAAAACCTGTTCAGCCTTATACAACTGGAGTAGCAAAAAAATACAGCTTTGCCTAGTACAAACATCACTGTAAACTACCTGATCGAAGAGAAGGAAGCTACAGCTTTCTTGGAGAGAAAACTAAATCTCACAGAGCCTGAAACACAACTGCATATAAGCAATTGTACCAAGGCATGACAGCATATGATCACAGAGTTCAGTCACTGTTTGCAGGTAGGTAGCTCATAAATTAGTCACCAGTCCCTGTAAGGGAATTAAAAAAAACTTGTTTCATGAGGTTCGTTATGAAAATAAAGATTTTTCTGAATTCTTGTCATGTGTTTCATCTTTCCAATTAATCAACATTCCTCTTTTTCCTTAGGGTGAAATTATATGCTCTGATTGCCACAACTGCCTTTTAGTGAACAGGACAGGATGAAGCTATGTATTTCACACTAAGCCTGGTTCAGTACCTCCACCTGATGGCACCTGGCATGTTACAGGAAACGGTGCTCTTGCTCATACAGGAGCAAAAAGCCAAATTAATGTAAACAGTCTCTTATTCAGAACATGACAAATGTTTGTGCTGCTACTGTAACAGAAATGTACCAGTGGAGCATTTGAGAAAATTAAGGCTTGGATAATACGTACTTGTTGAGCGCAGCACCTTATCTCCTACACAAATGGAACCTAGAATCTCTAAAGAGAAGAAACAGTGACACAACCTATATAAAGCAGATAACAGTCTGGAAAGTCAGGAGGTGGGACCCAGCAACTAGCCAAAACATGGCAGAACAAGAATGAGGCAGGATTAAAGAATCCATCACCAATATAAACCTTTTAACATCAGTGGAGCTGTGCTAGCAGTCAGTCCTTGAGGTACAGTGCTGCTGTCACTCTGGAGAAGTTTGTTTGTTTATAATAATAAACAGATGAATGAAACAATTATTTCATGATTTTACAATAATTCTTCATAATATTAAGGTATCAGATGTCAGAGAGGTAACTGGCTTAAGCTGGTGCATACTGGAAATGCATATACCTAGTATGGGGTGATATAGGCCAGCTGCCAAGCATCCCCTGCCATCAGTAGAAGGTTGCATGTCTTCCTACTACGATCAGCAGGGAAAGTCTCATTTTGCTTGACAGGAGTTCTTCTGAAGTCAGTAAAACTGTTTTAGCTGGCACAGGGAAGCCTATTGCTCCTCCTGCAGCAGGGAATCATGGTGGCATACACAAACGCCCTGTCGCGACAGGCTACTGGCATAGACCTCAAGTTCCTTTTATTTACAGACTGTTACTCTACATCAGCTGAGACAGCCCATGGAGTTACTCTGCCACAATTCCAACATACCCCTCATTTTGTATTGCCCTCCCGCTGTGGTTTAACCCCCGCAGGCGGCTCAGCCCCACACAGCCGCTCACTCATTCCCCCCGCACTGGGATGGGGAGGAGAACTGGAAGGGTAAAAGTAAGAGAACTCGTGGGCTGAGTTAAAGACAGCTTGGGGTAGGGAGGATGGCAAAAAAACAAACCAAACAAAAACAAGTGATGCAAAAGCAATTGCTCACCACCAGCTGACTGATGCCCAGCCAATCCCTGAGCGATGGCAACCCTAGAAAACTCCCCCCAAGTCTTTATTGTTGAGCATGACATTATATGGCATGGGACATCCCTTTGGTCAGTTGGGGTCCCAGCTGGCCCAGCTGCGTCCCCTCCCAACTTCTTGTGCATCTCCAGTCTACACACTGTGGGGGGCAGAGTAAGAGGTGGAGGAAGCCGCAGTGCTGCACAACCACTGCTTAGCAAGAGCTAAAACATCGGTGTGTTACCAACACTGTTTTGGTCACAAATCCAAAACGGCACCATATGGGCTGCTGCGAAGACAATTAACTCCATCCCGGACAGACCCAGTACACCTCCCCAAATATAAATAAAGGAAGAGATACTGCTCAGCATATTTCCTTTTCTTAAATTCACTGCCCCTGGGAAGCCTTGGCATCTAGAAGCATCCGTGTTAATTTTCTTCATTAAGATGCTCACTTTATCTGAATTCAACAGCCAGGCTGAGCCTTTAATGTCTCTTTACAGGCTTTTTTATTATGAGGGGAAAAAAAAGACGGACTAACCAGTTAAGAAGGTGGGGAGGAAGGTACAATTTATCACATGTGCTCAGGTCTGCTTGCTTAAATAAAAACTCAAACAATGCCTCATCGTGGCTTTTTTTTTTTTTTTACTTTCATGACTCTCCTTCACAACACTTGCATTTTCTATAGTATTCTTTTCCTGTTTTCTGTTCTCATAACTTTAAGCAGTCACCATGCAGCACTATGTTAGATACCCTATTTTTGTTTGTGCCCCAAGTGCCTGGAGAAAGCAACAGCAGTCTTATCAATGAGAAGTCTTTGAGAATTAAAGTTTTTCTACAACTCTTCTAAATTTCTTTCTGGTTATCACAACTGATGAGGTACAAGGAGCATCGAAGCACTTGTTTTCAGAAGTTTCAGGTAGACTGCCAGAGAACTGTTAAAGACTTGTTATTTGGTTGAAGTATGGTTTTATGTAAACATTCCTTTTTTTCCTGCCACCACATAGTAGGGACAATTTCAGCTGATAAACTTCACACCAAAGTTTTCCTATAGTTTGAGAGGTAGGTTGGCAGAAGAGAAGCCACAGATTTGGGGCTTCCCCACCCCCTTCCCCCAAGTGTCTTTACTCTCTATATGCTTGCAGGGTGAACATTGTGCAGATGGGCACATGGCCATTTGTTGCACAAAAGACAATCTGCCCCATAATGGCAAGTTCAAATGAAACAGATTTTCACCAGGGCTGTGCTGGAAAAGCTGCCTGTGACTTATCTGGGAGCCAATAACGTTTAACCGCAAGTGCACACTGCAACAAATATTAGGCTGAGAACAACTTGGAGCCATTTCCATGGTTCTCTAAAACAATGCTGAGCAAGCTTGATGTGGTCTCTACATGTAGCCTAGCTATGTCCTTACCATTACGCAGAACCTATTTAGTAATTCTTCCAGCGCAGGCTGAATAAGAGTAATTCCCACATTTATCTTACAGCACAGCATCATTTTATCCTCTTCCTATTTTCATCAGCAACAAATTGTCAACAGGCACCATCAGGTGTACAAAACAAATGGAAGCACTGGAGCTGGACATGATTTCTTACAACATATGGACATAGAGTCGACAATTAACTTGCAGATTACTAAGAAGGAAATATATCTTTCTTTTTGTATCTTAAGAGCAAACAACTTTTTATGTATTTTAAACATTAATGCCTATTCCTGGTCCGAAACAATCACGATTCTGTATCTCTGGCTTGCAATATGGTGGCAGTCTTTCAAAGAAATAATAATGCTACTGCTACATTAGTCATCTGGTCTGGGTAGAACTGTTCTAGAATAAATTCTAAAATGTATTTATTTTTTACCTTGAAAGCTCCACCCGTAACTCAATTTCCTCAAATCAACAACAACTTCCATGACACGTATTCGCAGTGCACGTTCCTGGAATAAAATAGAAGAGTTAAAAAATCACAAGCCAACATCTTTTTTCTGGTACTTTCTAAGAACTGCAATATAACCTTAGAAAGTGAACACTTTTGCTTAACTGCACGGTGACTATGTGATACATGTTTAATTCCACTGCAAAAACAAGACTAATGAATGTCTAAAATTAATGTTCACCACCCAGGTCGGCCAATTTTAGCCTCCTAAGTATTTTCTGGGAAAAAGCAGCTGTATTCTGAAAACAGCAGTGAAAAAAAGGATCAGTGAGCACAGCAAAACCCTGACCTAGTCCCACATGGGAGGAGTGCAGGTGTGGAAGGGAAGTAAAACAAGGAGGCAGCACCGGCGTCCTCTAGAATAACCAGCAACAAGGGTGCTCCACAGTGTATTTTGCTCCTTCTCCCATGCTCGGACACAGTTTTCCAATTGAGGAAAACTTTTCGACAATAAAGGTAAGTGACTAGTTAAAAACTTATGTGAAATTTACAGCAGGCCACATTTGTAACAAAACATATTCTCCTGCTATTCTGAAATGAAAAGATACCTGACTCATGTTTACCGTGCCTCTGTCAGTGCAATCTGACTTTTTATAATAGAAAAACAAGTTATGCTATAAACTCCTGTGGGTCATACCTGCCTACAGCTGAGACGTCTCTGCACAGCTTCATACGGAGGAGGTACACCCAGAGGGCAGAACACTTCCAGGTCTTTGATTTGCGCTCCATAGCTATGGGGCAATGGAATCACATCAGAACCAAGCATCCTGCAACAAACAACAAACAACACTGAGCAACTCCATCAGTATGGCTTTCCGGCTGCAGAAAAACATCATCAGCTACCAAAGTCCACTGGTTTTCCCATGCCAGCTCAGATTTTGGGATCTCAGTCACAACTAATGAACTCACAAAGAGCTGCAGGAGGTTTTCCCAAATCACTCCTTAGGAGGTGCCTCTCCAAAGTGCTCAGCAGAGCTACAAATATCTTTGGGCAGTACTGTGCCCAACTCTTTCAGTTTTACTTCCCAGAGAGTCAGTTTTGTTTCAAGAGATTCAAATACAGGTGGTAGTTCAAAATGCGATAGCCTAGCTCAGATTTTTGTGAACTACTAAAGTCTTAATTATGCCTGAAATTCAAGATACTTACGATCTCATGTACAGCTGCATGGAAAAAGGCAAACTCAGACTAATGTCTACTTCTGTGATGATGCTTGGCTAAGAAAGTTACAGTTGATCAATTCACGAAGGCTTGTTATGAGGCAAATGTACCTCATGGTTAACCTTACTTCTCAGTTTTCAAAGAGCTCTCTGAAACCTGAAATACAGCAGAAATCCCAAAGACCATTTGCTGTATCATTTTCCTCTTAGGAGGTAGCTCTGAGTGGGAAGAAATCAGAACAGTGCCTGGAGAAACTTTTTTTGCAAATGCCAATTTTGATAATGTTAAGTTTACATTACCCCATTAACACTGGAACAAAGCGTGGTGGTCAACAGCAGAGCTGCCAAGGGGACCTTCCTCACATAATCTTTAGAGGAGTCCGTTACCCAAAGTGTCTCAATTTACTCTGCTTTTTATTACATTTTAAATTGCTGATTTTTAAATCGCTCCATCCCACCGCTGCCACTGCCGAGAAGCCCAGCAGTAACACCGGGTGCGAACCCTGCCTGACCACTCACAATGTCAAATTGCATCAAATTGTACAATCAAAACACACCCTTCAGTCAGCCCTAATTGCCAAAGAGAGAAAGGGCATCACTCCGGCAGGAAGACCCGCGGGCGGCCAGGCTGCCACTCGGGGAGCTCTCGCACAAGCCTCGCCAAGTGGTCGCGCGGGGCTTTCCATGGCCACCCTGGCCAGCTCCCGGCAGCATCGTAAAAGTTTTCGGCCCTGTCAAATTACGGTATTTCTCTTACCCAGGAACAGTTCCTACAGAATCTAAAGTGAAACGCACAAAATTATACCTCTCATCCACACTGTATTCACTGTATTTACGCTACCTCCTAATTCAACAGGTTTTTTCTTCCCTTTTTTTTTTTTCTAAAGTCACCAACCTTTTTCCGTTAACAACAGAGAGAGTGGTCTTTAAAAAAATTAAGATTATGCAGTGTTTCCAGAGACACTAAAAGAAAGGAAGAGACTGTAGAGGTTTACCTGCGACTCACTGGTGCGCCACATGAATCAAAAGTTGCAAAATAGGAGGGAGGTGGCACAGGTGGGACAAAATCATCAGGATCCAAAACATCATCTTGGTCTTCAAGCTGAGATTCATCCTAATCAAAGGAAAGTTCTGTTAAAAACCTTCTTAGATATAAAAAATTGCTGTAATCTCGTGATACCACTAGTACCGCTGCTTATAGTGGGCAACGCCTTGCGCTCACTTACAGTGCAGGATCTTCTTGTAGAAAAATTCTCAAAGTAATGCAGGGTAGCCGCTATGTAGCAAACTGTGGTGGTGATAGCATTCAGGGCACAAAGTGCAAAGAGAACTTTCTGAAGAACATGAAGATGATGGAAACCAAAAGATTAAATCAAGGTATTTGTAAATGTCAAAATAATAGTAATAAAAACAAGCAAAAACAAACACGGGAAACACAAGGATGACCATGAGAATTACTTCTTAGGAGCATATGTGATGAAGTCTTCAGGTCAGGTAACCTCCAAGATTGCAGTAATTTGCAAAAGCTTGTTTTGCCCTATTGTGTGTCCTGACAGAGCGATCTAGAAGGGTTTAATACCGCTCAGATGTGATTTATAGTCCACCTATTCATCCAAGAATTATAACCTTCCTCTTAACTTTTCTGTGGGAAATCCAGATTTCTCACGAAATGGTGAGATAATCACCATTAAAGAAATGTTAAAGCACTATATTTGAAGATGATGCTGCTTGGAAGTTGCATTTTAGTAGTATGTAAGCCAAGAAAGGCTGAGAAGATCAAAAGACCAGTGAAAGCATCAAATCATTAGCTAAAATTTATACCATATTTACCCTGTAATCTTGTCTGAATTCAGGTGTCGTTTTGGTTTGCATAAAACCCAGGAAGGACAGGAAGCACATATTGCAATGCACTGGTCAAAACCCAGAGCTGAAGGGCAACAAAAAGCCCGTTACAGAATTATAAAGAGCTTCTGAACAGTGTGGAAGACCAGAAAAATAATAGCATTTTTCACAGTAAACACAGCAGTCACCTCAGCACTGCACGGTCACACAAGTGTGGACATTATCAAAGCAGTCACGTAAGCAGCGTGTGCAGGGTACCTTGAGCACATGGTAAGCAACACTGCACAACATCACACGGTATAGCATCAGTGCAGTCTCTTCTCCTGCGCATCCAGTGAGATGAGATTCTTCACAGCAGAAACAGATCTTGTTATCACCCATATTCACCTTTAACAACACAAAACTCCACTTCTTAATTTTTTGTCTGTTTTATGCAACATTCTTACCTGTATAATATAGAGCCTATGTGTCAAACTATACCTCTGACTGCAAAGTATTCTGGAAATACAGGCTCGTCAAATGAAATTTGTACAGTTTAGTACACCAATCATTCATGCATTATAAAGCTATATTATGCATACTTCTCCTTCGAAAAGGAAGCATTACTGATAATAAGCTCAAGACATTTAAATACAACTTAGCTGTAATCAAAGCTGCACTGATTGCTAAGCAATTTTAGTATCCATGCTCCTTCAGATGCATAGCAGCTTGGAAATTCTTTCTTTGACTGAGGTATAAGCCTCTGATATGGAGTGTACAGGTTTTCTTTGATTCATGAGTATATTTTGCACCTCCATGGATGGAATGAAACCCACAACTATAATTTCAACCTAGTCAAATCAGTAGTAGTTACATATGTACACCACTATTGTTTGTAACTTTCAAATTAATGTTGTAATCTTAGTTTTTAAACAGAAATTCAATGTTTCTGTATCTAGAGATAATTGGGGTTTTTAGTTGTCAAACTCTCTAGAGTCATAGCGTCAAAGGTTTTCCACCTACATAAACCACTCTACAGAATAATTTATGATTTCAGGAATGCTTTTTGGCTGTACCTTATGCTTCCAGCCACAGAGGGCTCCAAATTTACTGAAACATTTAACCATCTTGTCTGGAATAACATTAATAGTTCTTAGTGCTGCTTCAGCACATTGATATTGGATGAACCTCGATTGTCCAGTGCTTGTAATCATGAACTCTCACTGCAAAACACCTACTGGCACGTTATGGAAAGAACAATAGCTTTCTTGAAGCAATAAATTAATGAAAATAAGTATTCAAATATCTTTCCACTAACCCTTGAAGTCCTTCAAGGCTTTAAACATGATCATCTTTATCACCTGTACCATTCAATTTCAATTATTCCATGGTTTCTGGTTCATAAATAGACATTCTCCTACTTCTGATGACACCCATTTGAGAAAAATCCTTTGAAATTTTTTTCTTTCTTGTGCAGATTGTTTCTTCCTCAAGAAGAAGAAAAGCCAGTATGATTTGATCTATCTTAATTTTTTTCCTCACAGTTCTTGCTGTAAGGTATCAACACAAACTGTCCTCACCAGGTGAGGCAAACCAGGAAAAATAATCCCACCCACAGATTATACTGACTGAATTCTCTGTAGGCAGCTCACCAGTACCCACTCAGGCTTTTTTCAACAGTTTATCTATCTTTGTCACGTTACTATAAAAATCCTTTATGCCAGTTCTTTAATGACTATGACATTAAAATCAGTGTGTAATGCTGGCAACGGGGATTTTCTAAAGATGTATTTTGGATTCTCTCCTACATGGCCCCATAAAATTATCCAGAAAGCCTTATACCATATACCGAATCAGCTGTGTCTTCAGACCCTGAAAACAGAGGCCAGCTCTCAACGAAGTAAAACCATTTCTGGGCTAAGCATGGTCTTCTAATGAGGAGGAAAACCTTTCAAAACAGCTTTAGGAGCTTTAGGAGCTGAACACCTTATGAAGACTCCAACTCAAAAAACCCAAGCGTTTAGGAACTCGGACAATAAAAATGCTGTTGTAGATTTCAGTGTCTGTTCACAACTTGAACTGGATCAAGGGCTGAAACAGAGAGCTTTCGTTTTTTCCCACCACCACGCTGTAGCTGCATTACTTGCACCTCTACGTTAGCACATTTTGTGATCCCAGCATGGCAAGCTTATGTGGCATGCCGTGAAGAAATATGTGTAAATCAGTATGTCTGCTCACCGAATCGCATCGGGGTACTCTGGACACAAACTGAATGCCTTGACATCCTACTATAAATCCAGCCAGGTTCAGCAGAAAACAGATGATAGACAGCAGAATAAACAGGTTAGCCTGGAATGTCAAAACAAAGTTAACAGCAGTGGGATCAGAATCACGAACTAGACTCTAAGAACATATGGCAGCGTAAATCCCACTGCCAAACCGAAGCTGGGAACACCACCCCGCTTCTTTTCAAAATTCCCTGTGACTTCAGTGCCCCAGGGTGTCTTATTTGAACCCAGTAGATGATTACTCCAAACACCTTTGTCTTCTCTCTCTCCTTATACTGCACTAGTTGTGCAGTAATAAAACACATGCAACTATTGAAAACTACAGGCAGCTAATGGTTTTTCTGGAGTGCAAAGTATGATTTGCAAGCTGTCCAACTTCCACTGTATGTCATATCCTTCCATCAAGTTTACCTCCCAACACATCTAGATCAGTAAGAAACCTGAAGAGGAAACATCTTAAGACAACATTCATTCTGCATATAAGTTCCCAAACTAATTCGCAGCACAAAGAAATGAAAAATATTTGTCCCATTACAGTGAGGACAGAGACACCTGAGGGACTTTGGTTATATGATTTTATTTCCTCCTGGCTACTAAAACCAGAACACCTCCATTCATAAACTGGACAATACCTTCAGTGTTATAAACCACCTGAAAGACCAGCAATGGCAGGAGTAATAGATGCTTGAAAAAGGACAAGCAGAAGCAGTGGATAAAATGAAGTCCTACTTTCATGTATGCCCTTACAATCTGCAATGAGCCCTTACGTGAGACTTGGGGTATGAATCTTAAACACATGTAAGAACTTTACTGTCCCAATTCATACATGCAAAATTTTTCTGTACTTCAGGAGAGAGCACTATAGGTAAGACTGCTACTTTAGAGACAAATAAAAATAACAGATTTTTCCCCTGACATGTTTACATTTTAAGCACTCAATCCTACAAAGCAAGTTATCAGACCTTTAATGCCCAAAAGAATAATTGTTAATAACAATCTGCTCACTCAGATTCCTTTATATCAAAGTGGCCTAAATTAAAAATGCAGGAGGTGACAAAAACCTGAGGAAGAGAGGGAAATCATGAGGGACACTGGCTCAGTGCTGCTCCAGACCACTTTACAGCAGATCCACCAATAAGGACTTCCTAAACATGCACAAAGACAGCAACTGCTTTCCAAATTAATTTAGCTGACGTACCATGCTTAGCTACCTAGGAAGCTGGAATAAAAATAAATCAGAGCTGTTGCACAAATTATGATCCCGTTTACGGAGGTTCAGGGAAAAATAATCACCCCTGAATGGACAAGAGCCAAAAAGCATTACTGTGCAAGCTCATTCCTTAAATTAAAACATCTCATTACTAGTAGGCTTTACAGAAGCTTGATGATAACATTATCACACAAGGCAGGTTTTAACCTCAAATAACCAATGATTAAAGTAGCTATTAGTACTTCTCTGAATAGGATTGGGACTATTTTGTGTTCAACATACTGAGAACAATCAATATTAAGAGGAATAGTATTTTCTCCTAGCTTTATAAATATCATAAAACCACAGATAAGAAGTTTTTAATGTTAGTAAGCACTTTCAGCGCCATTTGTTTTTCTGTACAAACACAAAATTTAATAATTTTTTGAAATTAACTCCTTGCTCAGAACTCAAATGAATCAACACTATTTCTTATGCTTTTCTCTAGACTATCTCAGTTACCCTTTTGATTAGACTACTTTGAAAAAAAAAGAAAATTGGTAGGCATAGGGACTTCATATGAAGAAAGCTTTTCATCTGTGTTCGACACAGGGTACTGTCAACAAGAAATTAGCCAGTTTTATACGTGAAATAGAAGCTGTTTCAACATATTGCTTGGATGGTTGCATCCAGAGGGTAGCAGTCAGTGGCTCAATATCCAGATGGAGATCAGTGATGACTGCTGTCCCTCAGGGGTCCGTATTGGGACCCGTTCCCTTTAATATCTTCAACAATGACACAATGGGATCAAGTGCACCCTCAGCAAGTTTGCAGACAACATCGAGTAGAGTGGTGAGGTTGACACGCCTGAGGGACAGGATGCCACCCAGAGAGACCTGGACAAGCTCAAGGAATGGGCCCATGAGAACCTCATGAGGGCCCTGCACCTTGGTTGCGGCTGGGGGATGAAGGGATTGAGGGCAGCCCTGCTGACAAGGACTTGGGGGCACTGGTGGATGAAAAGCTGGACATGAACCGGCAATGTGCGCTCGCAGCCCAGAAGACCAAGGTCAAGGGAGGGGATTCTGCCCCTCAACTCCACTCTGGTGAGACCCCACCTGGAGTCCTGTGTCCAGCTCTGGAGCCCTCAGAAGAGGAAAGACATGGACCTGTTAGAGTGAGTCCAGAGGAGGGCCACGAAAATGATCAGAGATCTGTGAGGACTGGCTGAGAGAGTTGGGGTTGTTCAGCCTGGAGAAGAGAAGGCTCTGGGGAGACTTTATTGCAGCCTTCCAGAACCTAAAGGGGGCTTATGAGAAAGATGGTGACAGACTTTTTAGCAGGGCCTGTAGCTATAGGGCAGGGGGTAATGGTTTTAAACTAAAAGAGGAGAGATTTAGACTAGATCTAAAGAAGAATTTTTTCACAGCGGGGGTGGTGAAACATTGGCACAGGTTGCCCAGAGAGGTGATGGATGCTCCATCCCTGGAAACATTCCAGGTCAGGTTGGACAGGGCTCTGAGCAACCGGATCTGGTTGAAGATGTCCCTGCTCATGACCTTTAAAGGTCCCTTCCAACCCAAAGATTCTATGATTCTATGATTCTGTGAACGGGCCCTGGGCAGAGGGAGTGCATGTGGCTCTGGGTAGGAGATGCTCCAGCTGGGGCTTGGTAGGAGCTAGGGCAGGGCAGAGAGATGTGGGGCCAGGCCAGGATGTGCACCTGTCTCTGCACCCCCTTGGTGGTGGGCTCCAGGGAGGGAGGGATGGAGAGCAGAAGGGGAAGCCCACCTGGATGTCCTTGGCACTTCCCCCGTGCTCAAGGTGCCTCTAGGGTGCTATGCCTGGGCCGAGCTCTGGTGAGCTATCGGGTGCTTTAAGCTAACAGCAGAACCATAAAGCACTTGACATAGCTAAAAGCCAGTTGCATTCACCCAGCCTGCATCCACTAATTTCTTGATCCCATGCATTTGTGGGTACCGACCTGCTCCCCAGCTCTTGCAGCTGCTGCAGTTACACTCTACCCAGCGTAACAGCCTGGCATCTTCCTGCACACTTGCACTCCTGTCACTTTTCATGCAATCACAGCTAAATCTTCTCTTTAGCAGCAAAACTCAAGCACCAAGCAGACACCAGAGATATGCTTAACTTGAAGTCTTTGTCACAGTTGGTCAAAAAAAAACCACCCCACAATCAGAAAGCCTCCTAGAAAGCACACTCTACGAGATCGCAACTAATTTCTACGTGATGAAAGGACGTTTCACTAGCAGAATGCTTCTGCATTCAGCAAAGCACGTACGGTTCCAGGCAACACCTGGAAATACAATATAAGCTCACAGCAGTGTGTTGGCTAGTCCAAACTGGTATAGAAGTAAGGACAGAGGCTAAGACAGCAAGCATGGCCTACCGAATATGTGCATTGCCCTCAGTGCATATGCAATCAAACCAACAATGCGGAATTGATACACTTTCTGAAAGAAGTTAGGTTCCTTCACTTAAAAATAAGATTTAAAGCCCTGTGTAAGGAAGGAGTTTAGGAGCAGAGAGGAAGAAACCAGCTTCTATGCAAGTAGAGAGTAACATCGAGCCCAGAACCCTCGAGAGTCAATACCCAAACAATTTTGCAGGGGGAAGTTTCCCTTTCGCTATTAAATGTATTTGGACAGGCATACACAGGAAGAAGCTTCTTCTCTGGAAGAAAAATCAGCTTCAGAGCCTAAGTGTTACAACCTGGCTTCTGAAGTCAATTGCAACTGATACCCAGAACAGAAAAGCCTCAGACAACTAAAACCAAGTTAAGATTTCAGAGCCAAGACTTCTCAGCAGCTGTATTGCTGAAGGACGAGCCTGCCCTGCAAGAACATCCTTCAAAAGACATGATTACAATTTGATTTTGTCTTGCAGTACCCTGTCTCTGGGACCTGTTATTTACCCAGTACCTTCCCACCTTTTGCCACCCAGTAAGGAAACCTGGGTGGCAAAAACCAACAGATGTGCCTCTCCATTTTATTTACTAAAAGGTCTTATCACAGCCATCCCTCTTCGACACTGGACTCCTCTCACAAGTGGTGCTACTGAAGGTCCACTACAGCTGTAACTAACGGGTCTTCCTTCCTTTCTCCCCTCCAGGGGAAAAACATGAGTGACCAAAACACAGCAGCCCCCTCTGCCTTTGACACCACAGCCCAACCCCAGCTCTTTTCCCACAACATCGCAGCCCTGTGCTTTCTCCAAGCGCCAGCAGCACCAGAGCTTTGCCATCACAGGGTTGTTTTTCCCCATGACCAAGGCCTCCAACCGAAGTGGCAGCCATAGGACAGCCTGGCTGTTCGCAAAGAAACAAACCCAGGCAGTAAGGAATCATCACCTAAAGGGAGAAGAAAGGTTTTGTGAGCCAAGACACCACCCTTTTAGTGGAGGAGCCAGGCTGCTGCCATGCAAAGTTGCTGCAGGCAAATAGGTGTAACTCCAGCAGGTTTCAGAGATGAAAATCCTGAATCAGAGTAGCAAACACGTTTCTTTTGGAAAGAATCAGTATTTTTAAAGGGGGCAAAGATAAATGTGAATTGCATTTAAAAATTCCTTAAGTACCGCAAAACTGGCAATCAAAACTAAAAATAAGATAATACAGGAAGCCACGAGAAGCAGCATTACCACGTCCTTAAACATAAACCCTACCAGAAACTGCTCTGAGGACCAGCTGACCAGGAGAAATTGTGTAGCACTCACCAGTCACTGTAATTCTGTTCAAGACCCAGCTCTGGGAAGGAGAGATGGCAAAGTGATGGAGCTCAAACACCTACCCTTAAAAAAAGCTATTTTGGGGGAGCTTGGATACATATGAAGAATTCCAGGGGGTATTTGCACAATTTGAAGAAACTACAAAACTGAACTGAGTGACTGAAAATAGTTCTGCATAAAAAGAAAGATGAGAAGAAGCCCTTCCTTACGAACAAGAGAGCATTTGTAGATTGACATATAACTATATATGAAAAAGAATAACAATCACTTAATCCCACAAACTTTACACTTTAACTGTAGAGCACAGTCCGAAGTCTCTGCCTAAAGACAACTAAATGCTGACATAAGTTGCTGCAAAATAAAATACAGTAATTGATATCACTCCTCAGATTTCTGGCATGGCTCTAGCAGAGGTACACAACATGCTAAATATCTAGGTTCAATAGCAATCTTATAAAGCCACCTTCAAGTGTAATCAATCCTTTCCAAAGCTCACTGGCTGCATAAAGGCATTTCTACCTGGAACCTGCTTGAGTTAAGGGTTGTCAGGGAGACAGCTGTGTGATCTGTGCATCCTTCACAGCAGAGAGGTGGCTCTGTGCAGGCAAGTGGAAAAGGGATTCAGTCCAAAAGTTGGGAGAGAGGAATCCGTTAGAAGTGTATTTACAAGAAATAAGTGCAAAAGACCTTGTATAAGAAGTAAAAAAAGGGGAAAGCAGTCACAGCTGGAAAAGGGATAGGTTTTAGTTCTGAATACATTTTGTAGTTTTAGTTATGAATGTTCAAGTTACCAGAGGGTAGATATATTAGAAATTTAGCCCAAAATAAATATGCTTACAGAAACTAACAATCTGCCCTTGACAGACTGTAGCTAGTTCAGTGCATGATTTCCTGAGCCTCATGAAATGTATAATGCTAATTTCCTTTTTTGCACATAGGATAGGATAGAGTAGAGTAGAGTAGAGTAGAGTAGAGTAGAGTAGAGTAGAGTAGAATAGAATAGAATAGAATAGAATAGAATAGAATAGAATAGAATAGAATAGAATAGAATAGAATAGAATAGAATAGAATAGAATAGAATAGAATAGAATAGAATATTTCAGTTAGAAGGGACCTACTAGTCCAACTGCCTGACCACTTCAGGGCTGACCAAAAGTTAAAGCATGTTATTAAGGGTATTGTCCAAATGCCTCTTTTTAAGGCACTGACAGGCATGGAGCATCGACCACCTCTTCCGGAAGCCTGTTCCAGTGTTTGACCATGCTCTCAGTAAAGAAATGTTTCCCAATGTCAAGTCTGATCTAATCTGGCTTTCAAAAATCAGACCTCTATAAAATATACATACGATAAGAAAAAGAAAAAAACAAACCCAGGTTCATAGAATCACAAAATCATAGAATAACTGTGGCTGCAAGGGAGCTCTGGAAGACTCTGTTGTATACTCCTGCTTAAAGCAGGGTCAGCTGTGAGATCATACAGGCTGCTAAGGGCTTTTATCAGCCTCATCTCAGAAACTTCACCATCTGCTGCACAATATCCCTGGGCGACCTGTTCCAGCACTTGACGACCCTAAAGAACATCTGATAAAAATGAAAGGATCAGAAGGAGTTTGATGCTTTCATATTTAAGTAAAATGAGGAAGGGCCCATAAAGTTTATACCAAGGAGAATATGGAAGAGTGAAAGAGCAACAACAGACAAAAGGCAACTAGAGCAACAACACGCTGTAGGCACAGCACAGAACACAGGCAGTATAGAAACAGGGAGCACTGTGCAAGCCTCAGGCATTTTGAGACAGTGGCATCTACACTTATTTTCATGAAAATATGGTCCTTCCAGATTGCGAGCCCCAGACACCAAGCTCCTCTTTCTGTCCACAGCACTGGCAGAAAACTTGCTTTGCTCTGCCTGTGCTAACCAATGCACCAACTGAGAAACAGCGATTCACCCACAGCTCACACATCTGATCCTTGGTACTCCTCACTGATGACCATGCGGATCCTGAAGAAGCACTGCATAAAAATAAAAAACTGCTTTGGCCTGGGAAAAGTTTTCAGAAGTGATAGTAAGGAGGGAAAAAAAACCCCAAACAATAAGCAAACAAACACTTGAAAACCACTTTTTTTCAAGTCCTAACTCATTGAGAGCCACACAGCTTCAGATTTCACTTACAAACAGAAAGAGCTTATATACCCCACACATCAATTTACTTCTCTCAGAGCAATGTAATGCAACTGTTTTTGAAACAGTAACACTGGAATCTTACTGTAAGGTGGCAATACTTAGGTTAGCTTTCAAACCTGCTATCAGACACTGAAGCGGTACAACTGAGCTAAGCTTTAAAACCAACTCGCCTGTTTAAGCTTAAGCAGCACTGCCTCAGAGAGCTAAATTATTTATACTAAACCAGCACTTTCTTACACCTACGCAAACACAAAAGGTGCTCTGTAAACATTAATGCTTCCTCCAGACGTGGTCTGCTCTTGCCCTTAATGGGGACTCCATCTGTGCAGGAAAGAATATAGCCTTTCATGGGCTTTGACTCCTCTTTCAATAATTATGATTCTACAATAAAAAGAGAGACTCAACAGTATAGTCTATTTTTTCAAGGAGAAAGAAGTGATTTTTTTTTTTTCCAATGACTATTAAATCACTATCATCTCCTGATAATTTCCTTACAATAAGTTTTAATCCATACTTACCAAAAACTTCACTGGTCTCTTCCATGTCATCAAGCCTAAGATTCCAGATAAGATTACCTACAACATGAAAAAACACATCATCACCAAGAAGCGAACAACTGTTCATAAAATGCCGTTTACATGGTTGTTTATCACTGCTGTGATGAAAGGTACAACAATGCCGGGAAGATACAGAGAGGCACATTGAAGCAGAGAGTAAGAGCCTGTGCTGATGAGGTTCTTCACTCCTAAGAGCATCCTGTGAAATAACATAACCAAATTTTAATCTGCTGTTTTCTTATTTTTTCCTCCCAGAAAACCTGCATGGGGACAAGAAGTTATGCCAGCAACTCCAACCTCAATGATTGCCTAAAAAGCTACTTTCAGCTGACTGAGTACTTGTTTTCCACAACATAGCTAAGGAAATCTGAAAACTGGCTTTCTCTTCTCCATCCTCAGGCACCACTTCATCACTCATTAAGTGCCTGTGAGTACCCACTCCTGTGATGACTCTGGTCTTCTTCCAAGCATTTCGGTGAACTCCCAGAGCATGACCCTTACCAAAAACACTGAAGAGAACCGAAACTATCTCCCTGATATTTTCTCAGGTGAATGCCAGTACCAGCACAAGGAAAGAAGAGAAAGTAAAAGCCTGCCCTTCTGCAGCCGTGGTCGTTAGACCAAACTTGCTGAACTGCAGAACTGAACCCTGTGACTCTTTACCTTAAAGGCCAAAACAATTCGGGAAGGAGAAAGCATTGCTGTAGAATTGAAGCAAATAGTATACCCAAATACTCTCTCACAGTAAGGATGGGAACCCTATAAAGAAAGGCAAATCAGTTTTTCAGCAGGTCTCGCAAATAAGCAGGTATACTTTTAATTTGTGGGACTTTGTGACTAGGCCAATTCACATCAAACTCCAACCCTAAAAAAGAAGCAAGAAGATTAAAAAGAGGAAGTTGCCCACTAGCACTTTTAATAAATCCCTTCTGTAACTTTATTCACTTGACATGATCAATCTGATTTAATGCAACATGCATCTACGACTTGGCCAAAAAACCTACTGATATAATCACTGATGTTGCAAAACTACATACATAACTTGCAGTTTCATAAAAAATTATTTCTTTAATTCTGCAAGTGCAAAATAGTCACATGATTTTATAACAAATTGCATCAATACTGATGTGAATTGCTGTTTTGCCTTAAGGACAACAAGACTTCTTTCATTACATTTGTTAAAGCTTCAAGATGCATGAAAAGAAAGTCTTTCTCAAAGTTTTCCTGATCTGCACTTAACCAGTGTATCATAATCAGCATGTTGCACCTAGAATGAAAAAAAAAAAAACCAAACCCCAGGAATACCCTCAGTTCCAGGTTTTAGTTGCCTCTACCTTTCCAGGTTGCTACTGGACTAAAATTTTCAGTCATGCTGTTACAGCTGAAAGGCATTTCTGGAAACTTTTCTGACAATACATTATTGTTTCACAGCTAGCATTAAAAAAGTAAACACTCTTCTGCATTATTAAGGAGACTGAATACTTCTGTGTTACATGTGTAATTTTAAAATATTTTAAAAGCATAAGCATGGTTCTGTGTGCAGGGTTCAGAGGAAGTCCATAGTTTACATGTATTTAAACTTGTTTTAGCCTAGGGTAAGAAAAAAAAAGAAGATGAAAGATCACAAGAGAGATACCAAACACACACATTTGGATGGTGTGGGTTCACTGCCATCCCCCCAACCCCCGTGAAGGCTGTCTGTACTTTTGGGGATGAGCATTGTGTTATACACATGAAGAGGAACTGCTCAATGACGAGTGGTTTGGGGATCATTTCCACAGGTTGTGAACGACACTGGAAATGTAATTTAGATGTTTAAACCGAGGGGTGGGCTGAGGCTGCTCACACCAGCTGCCAAAGAACGTGGCTTGCTCATCGCTCAGGGGCCCACAGACTGGGCACCATCCATCTGACTACTCCTGCTCCTATTAACCTCCACTCACTACTGCAATACAAACTGTTCTGTGTTCGGTATTTATAAAGACACAGTTTACACCAGGGGCCCACGGGGATGGAATAATTTCTCTCACTACTCTTTACAGAGCCGTCATAAGCTCATCCACTTTTTTTTTTCCCTGGGAAGATCGTGGTCCATCCAGGGGGTTGCCTGGGGTGAGTCAGCCAGCCCCACACATCAAGGCTTCCTCTGTTAAGAAAAAAAGGAGGGTAA